GCGCCCATCTCGCGCTACGCGCCTATTCTCGCGTGCTAGCATCGCTTGCTCTCCTGACGAAAAATAACTCGTAGTAAGAAATAAATAAACATCTGTGGACAGACTAGTACTAAATTTAAAGAGATATCACCGAAGAGGTAGTACTTACCCTATCCTTTTTTTCTATTTTTTCTTATTATTCTAATATATAGAGAATATAAGAAAACGTGAAGTAAAACATTCGATAAATTCAGGTGGCTCTTTGGCGATCATCTTTATTGAAGAGTGTTTGTTGACAGTTTCCATATATGTTAGACGGACCGACAGACAACCATTATTGAAGCACGATTAAGTAGAGTAATTAACGAGTTTTACAGTAACAATGAGAGTTAAATCGTTACACGAGTCAAGTTCGAGTCAATTTCATTATTATTATTTCACTTTTCCTTTTTGATGATATCTTTTGACAAGTTTCGACAATGTGAACATCATTGTGAGCAAATCAAACCCTACTTCGGCCTTTGATTTTACCAAGCTAAGAAGCTGGGTACAACTTGAGCATTTTGACTTTGTTTGTTTCATTTTCATTAATGCAAAGCCGAAGCGTCCTCGCTCAACTGCTAAAGGAGAGGGGGGGGGGGNGGGAGCGAGGGGGGGGGTTGCCGATTTTAGCCATGTTGGTCTCAAATAGGTTATGGTTTTTCCACTCTAGTCTTGAATTGGGTATATTTTTTAGAAGAAGCTACTTTTTCATCATTATCGATAAGACCATCGACAAAAGCCCTTCACAATGCCTTAGCATCGGTCTGAACTAGCGGACTAATAGGCAGGTCTGAAACAGGATATGGCATTAATGGCCAGGTCTTGAATAGGGTATCGAGTTTTGGTCAGGTCCTAGATAGGGTAGGGAAATTCGCAGATTTTGGTCTTAATTAGATTGAGGATTTTGGGAAGCATGCCGAGCGCCCGCGCTCAATTTTTCTGGGAGTACCCTCTCCCGGGCTCATCTGCCGCGCCAAATTGTTGTCGCTGTGTATTCATGGGTAATGGTTCATGCTTTTAGCTTTACATATATCGAGTTATGGATCCATTTGGAAAGTTTGGAGAGCACTCAAGAAGCTAGAGTTGCTCTCGGCGACACTTTACGCCTCTCCCGTACTCCCCAAACTTCCCGCGTGATCCATAATTCGATATAAGCACGCTAAACATGAACCAATTCTTTAGTTATGAAAGTACATTCAATTCGTATTTTTACTGAGCACTCAACCATATGAATTCTATAAGGACTCCCAAAATGCTGATCTTGCTTATGTGAACAAAAATCAGAGTTTACGTCATTAGGCCTTTGTAGGAACTGGGCCGGAAGTTCTAGTCAAGTCATCTGGAGCGAGTCAATGGTGCTAATTATGCCGCAAAGATGTTTTTTTTTTTTTCTTCATGGTGGAAAAAAATACAGCAACTTGAATCTCAGCAGCGCAGAAATATATTCAAATTTTCCAGGCTTCATTTTATTTCAACTGATAGTCCGCCTCGCAGTGGAAATGTTCCTTGTTTGAATTGAAAACATTACGCGTCATAATTAGTGGTTTTATTTGCTTGCAAGCACATTCCATTTCAAAAGGGTCAATATAAAATTTTTCGGTTGATTTCATTGCAGCCACTTTACAGCCTTCCACCAGAATAACAATCCATTTAATGTCAAGCACGATACATTCAAGAACGCGATATAAGATAGTTGTCCTGCTATATCACACCCACAGAAATGACTGATTGACCGTTCTTCAACTCATCACGCACCACCGATTTTCAAATATGCAGGGTAAAAGAGCTTATAAAAATTTATTCTTAATTTACCTGTGGGTCGTTGTAGCAGCTTTATAATCTACCTCAGTCTCTGTATATTTTATTCCTCAACTGTAAGAGGGCCGGGGTTCAATAAAAATAATCAGTGTTAGCTAAGACTTTGTCTAAATGTGGAATTGACCAAGTACGGGATTTTTTCTTTGAAATCTGGCAACATTGGCGTATGGCACCTTTAGACTTGGGGCGTGACTTTTTTGCCCGAAAAAATTACATAATGCGCGAAAACGTCAGGGTTAAAATCGGAATACAAACACAGTCAAATTTCAGTAAAAACAAAAACGTTCACAATTCCCACGTCTAATGAAACAGTGATCATTTCAAAAGTATGTAGTATGAGGGGTCGTCTGGCCTCGATTGACATCCAAGTTTAATCACAAAATTTTAAAAGAAAATATTACTTCATTATCGTACGAAAATCTGTTGCCCGAATCATAAGCGTTTTGCCCGAAAAAATTTCTAAACTTTCCAAAACTGGGAAGAGGGTTGCAACCCAAGTACTCTTATATGGCTCTGAAACCTGAAGAGCAACCAAAAGCCACCTCAAGAAAGATTCACAGATATCATGATATCTATAAGGAACTTCTTTGTAAGACATAGAGGATACTACACGAACGGCGGCGCGAAAATATGAATTTTATTGTAGAGTTGTAAATATTGTTTTTAACACGAGAAAATAAAATTCATATGTTCAAACCACATGGCAATTTCCTTTTCATTAAGTAGACAAACTGACTGTTTGTTGTCATCGACATCCTCACTAGTGAGGATGAAGTATAGTATGAATTATAGTATGAATTTTACGAGTGGTGTAATTTCCAGTACAACAGTCGTGCCTATATAATAAATAAATTTATTTCGGCAGCAATCAAAACAAGCATATGCCGTCCGTTTTTCTGGAACAAGATTAAACAGGCTAGCTATAGCAGACTTGCAAATACCTGGCAGATCTTGAAAAGGAGAAATGTCTATAAAATTCTGTATTTTTAGTTGATATCTACTAAACCTGCTGTGAGGAGAGAGAATTAGATAATTAAGTACGTTTTACATATTCGCTTTCGCTATCGGAAAATCTAGAAATCCAACATAGATATATTCGTTTTAGTTCGTTTTGCATTTCTGAGTTACAGGTTA